CAGGCCTGCCGGCTGCCGAGGAGCGTTTGAGGGCGGGGCCCGTGGGTTTCTAACGTCGCCTTCGGAAGCCCAGAGAAAAAGCTTTCTGAGCCAAGCTGCGGCCTTTGTTTGGCCAGTGCAGGAGTGATGCCGACGCAGTAGGGCTTTGAAGGCGGGGGTGGCTGCTTAACGTGGCATGCTGGGGCTTTCGTTTGCATTGCCACCCGTTCCACCCTCCGGTGTCCCTGGCGCCGCCCCGCTTAGGCAAGGGCTAAGCAGGGGTCGGCGGATATTCTTTTCACTATTTTTCACTCCCCTCTGAGACGGAGACTGACATACACACACTCTCTCTCTCTCTCTCTCTCTTTGTGTCTGTATTTCTTTCTCGATATCACTCTCCACCTTACTGTGAAGCAGACAGTTTTGGGAGCGTGGAGCTTGTCTTGTTTTGGGAGCGTTCGCAGGAGCGGACTCACATACTCTCTATCTATGCGACTTCGTAGGTGGAAGACTTCTTGGAGCCCAGCAAGGCTGATGCACGAGAAGCACGAGAAACATGCCATTCACAGCAACCTGAACATGGGACACCTGAGGTGTATTTCTCATATCTTCACCCATCTATCCTCGAGAGACCCTGAACATGGACACTTCGAAAACTAGAGGTCTTTTCCGGCGATTCGTTGTAAATCCTCGGGGCAGTTGTACCACTTAGGACTGCAGTCCTCAACTCGCACAGTGCGACCGGGGCGCCCAAGGATTGCCCAACGCCTTCAGGGCGACAACGTTCTGACGATCAACCCCGGGTAAGCTGAGGAAGGGACCCACCTGCCACCAGTTGTGTTTGTCTGGACAGGAAGGGAGCTTTCCACAGCCGATGCTAGGCTGTAATAGACACACACACACACACCTCTTAAAGTAGCTGTCAGTCGCTAGGCTGGAAGGCAAGAAGGCTGTCAGTCGACATGTCTTCTTTCGAGCCATACACATGCTGCCAGCTTCATCAGCTGTGACGAACGCTCAAGTGGCATGAAGACGAACGCAGAGGCAGCATTCCCCCATCAGAATTGTTCAGATCTATATAACATCCCTCAAGGACAGAAGATAGATTCTCGTGATACCCCTGGTTTTGTGAGAGTGATTGCAACCTCAAGTCAACGATGCTGGACCACATGCACTCAGCTATTTTGCAGGGAAAGGGGAAAGGTACCGCACCCCTATGCCAAAGGCATCTAAGGATTTCTTTCTCAGTGGTGCAACAGAGAAACCCTCGAGCGTGTTGAGTTCCTGGGCGGATCGTTTGAGGCGCGTGAAGGATTTGGTGGGAGGGGCCTGCAAAGCAACTACTGCCTGCACAAACGAGCTGATTCATCGATGACCACCATGCTTTTGCGGGGACGCACAGATGTTGCGGGTAGAATACCCTTTGTGCCTGGTATAGAAGTGCTAATGTCTATATATTTGGAACAAGTCAGTTTGTCCAAGAAGATGACCATTTCCACACCTTCTTTTCAGTTAATATGAGGCAAGAACATCCCCAAGCAGTTGTTTTGCTGTCTTCCCTTCTCTTTACCAGGGGTATTTGGGATTTCCCTAATTCCACTACAGATCCCAGGAGTTTGTGACTTTGTTTTGCTGCTGTTGGACATCTTTTTTTGGTATGCAAGTTCACCGGTTTCAACTGCAGCGTATATGGATGGAATCAGGACCGTCATTTGTCCTTTCCTGTCTTACTAAGCGATAGTTTGGTTAAAGTTACTGTGCCCTCACAGCTAATTTGTTGATATGCGGAGACAAGAAAATGCTTCACCAACTTGAGCCAACCACTTTGGACCTATACGAGGTACCATACTCCTCGGTGGCCTCTTGCATGAGGCTCGGTGAAGGGTTTCCGCGAGCTGCGGACACCTCTCCATTCCCCATCCCTAGCCAACGGATGACCTGATGACCTGGTTGACCTGGTTTTGTCTATGAATAGCTTTGGTGAGACATTAAAATATCTCGGCGGTCGGGCGTGGTTGGTAACGGGTGGTTTAGTTATGGGTGCAGCTGGCCAGTGGGTGCACTCGATGGACAGGATCTGGTCGTGGTAGAGACATACAATCTCATTTGCATTTCTTAACCCCCATAGGATATGGATCCATAAACCAGATCTGGCCAGTTAGCCCCTATAATCTCGTTTATGGATCTGATTTGTTGGATTTTCGACACTTTATCACAGTAAAACCAAATAAATGGACCGAAGAATGAGGAAAGCAGTTCGGTCTTGGACCGAGGTTTAATTTTTCCTCCGCGGCCGGGCAGTGACAACCTGTGACAACCACCAGCACCACGGATTCCGGGTGTCCATTAATAGCCCGGAAAAGAGGTCAAGGGGTGTCCATTAACCACCCCTTGGGGGTCCAGGCAAGAAGACATTTTGTTCGAAGACACATGGTTTTGATCACTTAGTCATTCTTGAAAGGGGCTTTTCCTCTAAATCCCTCTGTGGGTCAAAGGATGACGACCTTCCCCCTAAAAAGATCTGCACACCAATTGATTAAACCGCCGTCTATCCCCTGGTCTCTCCGTGTACCACGCTACCCAGGTCTCTCGCTTGTGGGCAGACCTGGGTCTCGGTCGGTCGCTTCCCAGGTGGCCTGGGCCACGTGGGCCACGGAGTGCACATCGACTGACTGCGTTGGTCTCCGCATACCTCTGGGGCCGTCCAGGCCCGATGTGCCCAAGAAACGTGTGTTCTTGCGAAGCTCCAGTACAGTAAAGTTTTGTTTCAGTATACTACCAGGTGTTCGTGATTGGTCATGGATGGATAGACTCATAGAGGATGGGGAGGTTGTTCACCTATGAGTCTATGAGTGAACTTTCTCATGTGGTATGGGTCTGGGCAAATACATGACACCTCGATCAGTGTCGACCGCTCTGTTCATGAATGACTGGGCTGTTGGCTATCCAGACTTGCAGCATGGCTCTCGCTACCATTGCATGGAATGGAATGTGAATCGGATGGTTAGTTTTGGGTTTGACCTTCCGACATTTTCTCGACATGAAGGCTAGAGTGAACGCAGGTGACGCACCATCCCCCTGGCAACATGCAAACAATGACGTTACACGTGTGATGATCCCTGGACGTGGACATTGAGGCTTCTCCTTCAGTGCGATGGCCTCTGGTGGGGGGCCAAGTGGCCTCGGACTCGTGTTCCGTGGACAGGACGTTTCCAAAAAAACCGCAAGAACGTCTTCTCCCTAGTAGCTTCTTGTTACTGTACTCGTAGCGGCCTCCAACCTAGCGATGGCCACCGTGCGTAGCGTCCTCTGTTACTTTAGATTTGTGAGTTGCTCGGATTCACAAATCTAAAGTAACTCTAAGATAGAACTCTAAGATTCACAAGTCCTTCATTGACTCCTCATCCGTCGACATGTTGGGAGCGGACAAGGGTCCTCCGGGCCCTCCATCTTGCTCGGGGTTCACAGGTCCAAAGGGGATGATGAAATCAAAAGAAGGCGAACTGGACTTGATGGTGGAGGGCGAGTCAATGTCTATCAGAACTTTTTGCGGAGACCAGATGGAGAGATTTTCCTTGAAGGCCTATATGGCCATGCAGGCTGAGTGTTTTTGTGTGAGTGCTGCAATGCCTTCGAGCTTCAATATTGCCTTTTCAGAGTCCTGCGATGCCTCCCATAAGACATGCTATCCATTGTTCGTTTCTTGACACTTTCACACGCCGATCAAGATGTCTTTCTTCCATTCTTCCGTTTGGATCCCCCTCAACCTCAACTTGATGAATGCTGCCATGTCTTTCTCCCCCCCAGGCTCACCCGAAGCGGACATCACGTCAACACATCCGCGACGAGACACGACGCCTTGTCGGTCGGCTTCCCATGTCTCCATGGAGCGCTTTCTGGTGCGCAAGCGGCCGCGCACCGAAGGTGGGTGACCCGGGGAGACGGAAAAAGAGTTGGCCTATTTGGACAGATCTTCCATCCTTCGCATCTCACAGCATCTCCAGTATGCCTGAGCTCATTACACGTGCAGTTGGTTCATTAGCACCTGTCACAGGTGCTGGTGACAACTGCACGTTGCCAAATGAGGTGCAGGCGATCTGGACCCGAGAACCCAGCGAGTCCACTCGCGTGGAAAAACGACGGGAACCGAGAACGAGTCTTTTTGATCGCACGGTGATTTCGCGTGAACTTCCTCTTGAATATGACGGTTGATCAACTGAGGCTTGCTGATCTGAACGGGACGTGCCTTTCGTAGGTTTTTTCGTCCTGTTTTCCACAACCCCGGTTTTGGTGGGTGCCAGTGCTGGCAGTCACATGTTCTTCACAGGTTCTTCACATGTTTCTGCCGGTCCTCCCCCCGCAGAGAAGCCACTCCTGAACAGCTGATGCGCAGGCTGAGCAGCACACGGAGAAGCCGGACGTCAACGGCGCGATGCTCGGACGCTTGAGTGGTGTTTGTCAAGTGATGTAGATACCTGTACCACTCACCAACAAGCTTTTTCAGGGTCTGTTTCAAAGCAAGTCGTTTGAACGGGGCGCCAGGTGTAGGATATTCTCAGCATATCTCAGCATCATGTCAGAGTTGATGGCAAACCCCTAGATTGGCCATGGGTCATTCCAGATGGGAATAGTGTTTCATTTTCTTCATGCACCTTGGCCCTGCTCCAGGGCCCAGGGCTCCTGATCGCCTGTCCGCTTGCGTCTCGGCTGATCGCGGTCCCCATGAGGTGGAGCTCTGGACGATCCCGAGAAGGTGATTTCTTGGATGCTCGGTGGCGAGCAGGTAGGTCCGTGAGGGAACTGGAGTCAGCGACCGTGACGAATGAGATGAAGATTCCTAAGGGGTTTGGTCTCCGGAAACTTAACTCAAAATGAAGTAAGCGAACAGATAAGCACATGTATCAGCAGTATCTCATCGCAACCATCAAGTGAGGTTTTGTGGTTTGTCCAGCCTCAAATCCCAATTGATAGGAATTGGAGTATCATATAAACATGTGTGTGTGTGGTTGATTGTGGTTGCCTGTGTGCGGTGTGCTGTTCGGCCTCTGCTGAAACCACCAATTCGCAACGCCCGTTCTTCGCACCTTGGCCGAAGGAACGTCAACGGCCTGGTGGTGCGGCTGCGCAATGATTGGAGACCTCGCAGCAGTTTTGGGCATCAGTCAAATCGTTTTCGGTGAAAAGCCCTCAGTCCTGGTAGTGGATGGGCTGGGCACCCCAGGTAGTGGAGGTCAAGCATGGGTGTCAGGGGGGTTCTTAGCCATGTAGCCATGTGGATCAAAAGACCACTGATGGCTTTCTTTGTAGATTGACCAAGGAGCCAGATGAAGACATTCCTGGAGAGTGAGCAGCCAGAGACTCGTAAATACGATTCCTGGGACGAAGTTGTGCGAATCGCGGAACTGGCAATTGCTGCCCGCAATATGAGAATGTCTCAAGTGAGAGGATGCAGGAGTCTATTTGGGGGATTCCCATAGTTTTTTTGGGGGTTGTAATATGGATGCCAGGGATGCCCAGTGGGATATACTTAGAGAGATGTCCTGCTGGGTGTTGGGATGTACAAGATGCTTCCGGGAGATGGCAAGTTGAACATGGCCAAATGGTTTCGTGTGTGCAACGAACAGGAAGGGTAATGTGGGCAGAATTCTTGTTTGCAGTACGTTCGATGGTGTGAGCTCAGAATGTGGTCTCCTGTAAGTCTTAGCAGTAGAAGCTGGAAACTGCCCTGTCTGAGTAGGACATGATTTGTTGCTATGTTTAACAATCAGGTCAATCAAGAACCACCCTCATCTACCAGCAGCCCTAAATCTGAAGCCTCCACCACGTGCACCGGCAAAACTGAATGGCTCAAATTCTGCACATCTCCCAAATGCGCCCGGAAAACAACATGGATCACATCCCCAAATAGGACAGAACAACCCCCCAACACCCACCACATCTGCCACCCCGGGCCAGGTGTTACCAACAGACCACAGCAACACGAGCACCAGACCACCCCACCAAACCTCCATTGGAACCCGAAACCGACGGATCCTCAGGATGTGCTGTGCCTCCAGGAGGTCCGTCTCCCAGCGGCCGGGCCCAAAGGCGAACGAACCGTCCGCTTCGCGCGGACCGGTGGACCGCTCGGTGGACCGCTCGGTGTGGGTCGGGGATGGGGGAGATCTTGGGTGGCCAAAAGGGTCAATCATGGAAAGTGGTTTCCAAAACGGTTCGCTACGGAGCGTGCGGACGCTACGAACGGGGCTCCTGGCCTTACTAGGAGCAAGAAGCTACTAGCAACAAAGGGCATTGCTACGAACGGAGCGTTCGGACGCTACTAGGGAGCAAAGGAGCCAACTGAGAATGGAATTCCGGGGTAACCGGATAATATCCAGCTTTCCATGACATATTCCCTCATTGCACAGGAACTCGGAGCGAAATAGGGGAGTTCCCCAACCCCGACAGACTCTTAGTGAGAGGATGATGAGATCTTCTGTTGTTCCTTTTCTTTTTGGAGTGAAGAGACATATCGAAAGAAGACACATCGAGGATGATGAGCTTTTGGGCATTTGAGAGATTTATTCCTGCTTTGGTGTGGAGGCCCAAGTCTTTGACTGGATGTGAGAGCGGTGTGCAGCGAAGTGGGAGCGGCGTAAGAGAAGCCAACGTTCTGCCCAAAGCGGGGGCAGATGTTACTGGAGGATGGGACCCCGCAACTGAAGAGGATTGGGGATTTGGTGAATTCTATGGACTTGAACACAGCTGCTGGCATGTTCCGGCACAGCTGAGTTTGGTTGCTTTCCATGTGCGTGTGTAGGCGTCTGACTTTCTCATCAATACTCCCTTTTTTTGTGGTTGGAAGTAGAGGACACCCCAAAGAGATCGACGCATCACACCTCTGACGGTGTGTTTTTTCCGTCCGCAGAACGACGCACCAGGCTGCAAACGCGGCGATGGGCAGAAGCGTCGACGGAGCGAGGCGGAGTCGCCGGGGTTGTCAAAGAAACACCTACAGCAGACGGCCTTGAAGTCATGTTGACTGCCCTTTTGATGAATAAAACCTCACATATGGAGATGCTTGCCCATTCAGAATCCAGGTAGGAGGTTTCAATGAGTTAACAGATGTCACCAGTTCAACCTTAGCATGTGATTATTCTTGCTTGACGGTGATGCAGTTCTGTTGGAGTAAACATTATCGTTTCAGTCCTAGTGACTGTGGCGTGGAACGGGCATGGAACCGATGGCGTGCCGGCACCGAGGTGAAAGGCGATTCAGCACAGGAGAAGGTGGCAGTTTTCAGAGCGGTTTTCACCAGCTTTGAGGTTGAGTTTGAGCAGGATAATGCGGAAGTTGTGACTGTGAGTGATGTCCGATCTTGACCTGTGAAGTGAGCCTCGAAGGAACTTCAAGCAACGCAAGAACTGTTAGTGATGTAGATCCAATTTGGCAGTGAACATCTCAAAACGAAAGGAGGTGATCATTCGGAAGGGTCATTCTCTGAGCACCAGCACCTGAGGCAGATTGGGATGTCGTGCAGAAGACGCTGATTGCGACCTTTGGCGCTCAATACGCTTTCCACTGGTCCTTAGCAGATTGGAAGTACTCAGGCGTTCTTTTCCGCGACCGAAACCAGACGGATCAGTTTGATGCATACTTGCACTTGCTGCACCATTTGCTTTTGTATTTTTTCATATTATATTACATAGTACCCTCAGACTTACTTACATGGAAACCATGCCATCCACTCCATGGAACGTGAGGACCATTGCGTCAGAGTGTGTGCCAATTTGTTTCTTTTGATCTCCTACCCTGGACACTGCACAGTCCATGCACTTTTTTCCTTTCGCGTTTGCTGAGCCCCGAGAGGCTCTCAGTTCAAAGGTCATGCACTGTCGCGCACCGTTCTACCTACTATGGTAATCAGGCTGTATCACAGCAGGCTCTTCCACAACCCCCGCCTCATGCAAGTCTCGAAAGATGAGGGGGAGTTCTTTATCACACTGTACCGGGTTCAAACGTGCAATGTACATGTGAAAAGCTTCGGCAATGGTGGTGTTCAGCCCTGCCGGGTAGACCTTCGCCCTTGCCGTGCGAAAAACACCGCGCTCCCGCCCTACTAGGCTCATGTGCGCTCCAGGCCCGTGATGACAACGTCCACGTAGTCCGGTCTGCAGCGTCACCT